AGATCACTATGGACTAAATAATGAATTCAATAAATATGGGCAAGTTGGAACAAATCTTGTTACTAGTTTCAAAAAAGGGAAGATAAATAATTGATTAATATTCTGCTTTTGTTGTGAAGTTTAACAGTGACATTACTTGAGCTCATTTTGATAGTTCAAGCAATGCAAAGATAGAGGGGAAGGTTATGTTTGTTGGCCTATGTTCTCTGGAAAAGACATAAAGGACATAAGCCTGCTTACCATCTTAATGTGATTCTTCATTCTGTCTGTGAAAAGGTGACCAGAGGTGCTCATTACTCAAAAACTGTTACAGCCTCCTTTGGGACTTTATTTATTTATTTTTTTAAATAATACTCATTTTCTGGCATTAGGAAGTTTTTCAATTTAATGTGATTGGTTTCAATCTAGACAATGTTTATCTAAATAAATGATGGTCACTACTTATTTTTCACTCTTCTTGATTGCCTATGTGAAGGGAATTGGGAATTCTTGGCTTGGGTCCCTTTCCAAAGGGAGAGATGCTAGCAAGTGTAGGGTTGATGGGTACAGCATGGAAGCCAGTAATAACTACATGCATCTGGAAGCAGCACTCTTGGCCACTGGCATGTTTTCATCCTGACAATGATGAAAGCTTTGTCAATGTTTCCACAGCAGATTGCTGAAACACAGTGGTTTTGTTTTAAACAGGAATAAAATTACCTTCAACATTTTTTTCGTAGTAACAGCTTATCTGCCTTGCCTGAATTGATGTTGTGCAGTACACTTCATGTTTCAGCAATTACAGATTGGTCACTGTCCTCAACCTTTCCTCTCTTAAAATCATGTGTTTTTATCTTATCTGTGACAGATTTCATGTGAACTTCACTGGAATCTGATTTTTGTCTTTCCATGGAAGCAACTGGAGCAGAAACCATGTCATATAATGGCCAAGGACAGTCTAAAGCCAGAACTACACAAGAGCCAAAGCTTGCAGAGCTTATTGAGGATCAGGATTTAAATATCTGACATATTCTTATATTTAGAGATAACACTAACATGCATTTGGAAGAGGCAGTAGCAAGTCTGATGTCAAATAATGAAGCCCTTGTTTCTAGGCTATACTGCTTCTCACTGTGTATTATAGTAATTAACAGTTGTTAAAAAATGGAACTATGCAGTTTAGATACATATACAAAATCATTGTAGAAGCATGGTTAGATGTTCCACAACTAGGGCTTAAAATCAATTTTGAACTGGAAGTAAGGATGCAACTACTTTATTATTTGTGAATAACAGTGTATTCACACACAAATTCCAGTACTGATTCTTTCAATACATAACTAATTTATCCACAGTTTACAAATGAACTAGTTAAATAATGAAAAAGTTAACATTCTTCCTAAGAAACTTAGAGCTCTTTGCCACATGTTATTATTTTGCTGGGCAAGTTTATTGTTTAAATAACACAGTCTCATCCCAGATAATTCCTAGATAACTACATGCATTGAAGTAAAATCTAGAATACTCTTTGCCCTTTATTGAGATTTTTATTTTTCTTTTTCATGGCAGATGAAATAGAAAACCAACTCTTCTAAAAAAAAAATAATAATAAAATATTGGTTTGAAATGGCTTCATTCCCTCATCGAGGGCAACTGGATCACATCACAGTGGCAGATGATTCTGTTGATCTCAGAGATTAACTAGGCTGTAGATTTTTAGTGCCTTTTTGAGGCTAGGTAAAGGCTGCTATATTTTTTATTATTAGCTGTGGTAGAGCAGTAGCATGGAAATACCCATTTGAGAAACTGTGGGCAATGAGTCAATCTCATATTAATCAAAATAAGTGGTGTCACTTTGGATGTGAAGGAGAAGCTGAGCATGACTTTGACTTCACTGTGACTGACCTGCTTTGCTTCGGAGCCTAGTTGGCCTCCTTACCAGGTATCTTTTCAGAGACATCTTTTTATTATCTTCAGATATCAGATCTACGTGTTCCGATATGCAATTACCCTCTCAGAGAGTAGATCTCTTCTCATGTTGGAAGGTTAATTTATCTAACTTCAATTTACAGTTATTAGAGATTGTTCTGCCTTTCTTTGCAACGTTTAAAAACTGTCTGGTTTTTTTTTCTATACACATACATCTACTGCAAGGACTCAAGCCATCTCTCAGCCTTATCTCTGGTGAAGTGAAAGAAAGGGCTTCTCAGATCTCCAGAAATTCCATGTCCTTGAAATGTGACAAGTAAATTATCTCTTACCACTTCTGTTTGCAGAAGCAAACTCGTTGGCCTCTCTGTTTTTTTACATAAGTTGTTGTTGTTGTTTCTTAATTGCTATGCTTAGGATTATTTTGGATTTTTGCAACAGCATCACACAAGTGAGTACTCCCAGTGACACACAGAACTTTATGGTCACACTGGATTTTGCTCAAGATCAACTGACATGTTTGTGTGACATTGCAGAGCTGACAGAGTTTTCTGCTTCTAGCTCTGGAGATAACTCTTTTGCAACCACCTCATCTATATCATTATGGAACCATTCTAGAAATCCCTGGCTTTAGAACACTTTTTTTTTTTTTCTCCCTCATGCAGGCATAATCTGTGTTTTTGGTTCTCACAAAACATGTTTTCAGAGTTGTTACAACAGATTTCATTGGACTGAGACTGCTAAAAAAGTGGTTCAGATGACACTGCAAGAGTAACTAGCTCTTTTCACCATTTGCTCTTTTACCAATGACTATGCCACTTGAAACTGATTGTGCAAATATTGTGGCACTTTGAAAGACTGAAACCTGAAGCTAATTTGGCCCCATCTTCTCTGAGGAATCCTGGGCGTACTTCTAGCAGCAATGATGTTCTGTGGGAATGCTATGGCAACATCAAAATGTTGGCTGTCTACCAGGCTTACTGCATCCTGTGCATGATCCGTGAATAAACAGAGGAATTTAGTTCCCAGAGTGTCAGTCTGGCACATTTCACAAGCACTACATTCACTTAAAAAAAAAAAAAAAAGTCAGCCAGTCTTACAGAGAAAGTGCTATAGTGACTGAGTGACAAATTTCCTGCTGCTAACCCTTATATATACTAAGAAGCTAGAAATAGATCATGCATGGCTTAATTCAGAGGGGAATATGCTCTCCTTCAGGGTTTTTATTATTTTTTTACTCCTCTGCTTTTCTTTGTTCATGCTATATTTCTTTTGGTCGTTGCATCTCCTTGCTCATCCCAGCAAACACTAGTATGTCTTCTTTCAGTTAAATGTGAGCTCTTTCTGAACCAGAGGCTGGAGATACAGTCAGTGAGGTACCAGGTTTGAGCTACAAAGCCCAAAAGGAATATTAGCCCAGGGTTCACTGCATAGGAACACATTCATATTGTTTCTAGTCTGCTGCAAATAAGAGCACAATGCTGTGTTGGCACTTAGTTCTATCATGCAGTGACTTCCAGTGGCTCAAGTGAATGTAAGATTTACATCTGCCTATTAGTCTCTTTTGCTGTGTATATCTTAAGAAAGGGCATGCAAGGATATTTAGAGGACTATATTGCTTTTTCAAACCACACCTAAAATGAATTAGATGGGAGGAGGGTACATCTTACTCAATTAACAGCAAGAGTTCAGGCTCCCTATCACAGGGTCCACGATTGAAAAGGTTCTGTCGCTCAGATGAGATGATAGAATCAAAGAACCAATCACAGAACGGCTTGGGTTGGAAGGAACTTTAAAGATCATCTAGTTCCAACCACCCTGCCATGGGCAGGGACATCTCCTATTAGGTCAGGTTACTCAGAGCCCCATCCAACCTGGCCTTGAACACTTCCAGGGAGGGGGCATCCAGAACTTTGCTGGGCAGCCCATGCCAATGTACCACCACCGACACAGTGAAGAATTTCTTCCCAATATCTAACCTTAATCTACCCTCTTTCAGCCTAAAACCATTAACTCTCATCCTATCACTACACTCCCTGATAAATCATAGAGTTATAGAATCATTTCTGTTGGAAAAAGACCTTTAAGATCATCAAGTCCAACCATAAATCAGGACCATTATTAGAAAGGACTTTGCTGGACTAGGCATTTGTAGCCTGAAGTCTTGACTAACTCTGTCATTCTGCCTTTTTTAACTTGCTCCACCTGCCAAATCAGCATGGGCACATGCCATCAGGAGACAAGGACATGGCATTCCTCCCCATCTTTCCTGTAGGCTCCCTGTAAGTACTGGAAGGTGGCTATAAGGTCTCTCCAGAACCTTGTAGATGTTTTGGGGAGACTTCTAATCTTGAGTGAAACTTCCAGGTTATATTTCTCTGCAAATTATCCTCATGGTTTATCACCTTTCCATTAAAAATTCAGCGCTTTCTTTTAGTTCCTTGAGCTTGTAGAAACTTAGGCTATTTTTATATTGCCACATGTCTGATTTGTTCTTTACTCCAGGGATGTGAACATCATTCTTGAAGCTTTACTTTGGTAGACATAAGCAGTGTTCCCTGAACTGAACACACCACAGTGTATTCAAAACTGAGGGCATCTGAACTGACTACTGTCCCACCCAGAAGACAACAGGCCTACTCCACTCTCTGCCAAATCTGGTATCTCCATTATTATGTTTAATCCCTTCCTCATTCTTACAGCTTGCCTTTAAAGGAGAGCTGAACTCCACTGGAAAACAATTGAGCTCAATAACCTGTCTGAAGACCTTATTTATTTACATTCTTTTTCATTCTGACTTTCTTTAAAACCTCTGGATAAACTCTGATGTATAAAACTAACACTACAATAGAAACAACATAATGATCATAATGCCAAATGGCTGCATTAAAACAAGCTGACAGTCATTGTAACATGTCTTAAAGATCAATACAGCTCACAAAGAAAAAACTAAAAAAAAATATTAAAAAGAGTAACTTATATGTACAAAGGTGGCTTAAGTTGCCACAGACAACATGCTCATCAGGGAAAGCCTTTTTTTGCTGAACAAAAATGAAAACTCAACTCTGCACAAGGTTAAAGATTGTATTTTAATCACAGACTGAAACATAATGATTTACAAAACTGATGGTTAGATTTAAAACCAACCACTACATCTTTCTGTGGGAATATTTCCCCCTACACCCTAGCAGACTAGGGATTCAAGCAAAGAAGAGAGCTGTTCAGGTTTGCCTTTGGGATTGAACAGTGATTTCCAGGATGATGATTGATGCTGCAAGATTTCACCTAAGATGCTTGTCAATACATTTCATGTACCCAGCTGGAAGTGGCTTGGTCTAGGGAACTCTGCTGGATTCATCAGAAATCCCAACCATTTTGCAGCTTTCTGTCCAGAGCCTTCTCTGCAGCTCCTCATCGTATGCTACGTCAGCTGATTTTGTCCTTTCTTCATTATAAAGGTAGCAGCCACCAACTCCTTCCATCTCAGGTGATACTGCTGCATAGATGCTTGTAGAGGCTCCTTCCTCTGGAGTCTATAGAAACAAAGAAAAAGAACCAAAACCAAATGCAGGTACAATGGAAGAATTAGAGTACTCCACAGGACCTTACCAATCAGCTTCCCTCGTTTTGCATCACACTTGTGGTTCTTACGCCAACCTCAAGCTGGCAATGATAAAAATGCCACCTATTCAACTGGCAGAGTACAGACCATTTCTAAAATAGTGCTACTTTGGGATAGCTTAAAGCCACAGAACAGACATACAGAAAACTGCTCCATTTTCTCAAAAGCTAGTCAGATGGAGCACACAAAATAACATATTTAGTTTTCACAGTTAGAGCTAATAAACCCAAAAGCAAACATAAGTATTTAAATCCTAGTTTAATTATTCATTTTGCAAGGTTGAAAGGGTCTGTAGTCTGCCTCAAGAAGATGAAGGCTGTGCTCTATGTGCAATCTGTTCATTGTAACAGTAATATGACAAGAACAAGGGATCATGGAAACCATGAGAGCAAATTAAAATTCTGCATTTCAATCCAAGCAGGCAGGTAAACCAGGGAATTGCCTTTTACACAGAGCACAGTAACCAGAGCTCTGCAGTGTCATGGAGCAAAGCAGTGAAAGACCTATAATGTCTGATACACCACAAGTATTAAATGAAAATTAATAAGTGAATAGCTTAGAGTGATAAATCCTTTCATTCTGAGGATATGCAAAGTTCCATTTTGCATTCAGCAGGATGACACATCTATCACTGAAATTATTTCAATTGCATTTTTTCCCTTCATTTAAAACACAACATTTTATATGTTTTTGTCTTTTTCAGTGATTTAATTATGATCAATGCCTGCTAGAAGATACTTGCAGTCATTCTCTGAGTCACTAACAGTACCACTGCTGCCTACAGCTTTGTCTGCTGCCCCTGACAAGGTGTCTTTTCCTGAAGAACTCACATTATGAATGAGACAGTATTGAATAGGTTACTTGATGCCTAGTTTAAAAAAAGATATACATCTAAGTCATTTGGAGCTTTTTTCTGAGAAGGTACTGATTTTTTTTAAATGAAGCAACTGCTCTCTTTTCTCACTGTGCAAAACACAAACCACAATTTATTAGAAAGAATTTGTTTCTCAGATGAATCTGGCATTTGGTCTCATTTCTAAGGAAGTTAGGGCCATGTGACACAATCACACACTAAGGCAAGGTTACCCAAACCAAGACCTCTCTGGCTGCCACCAGGACAGAGCATCCTCAGCATCTGCAAGGGCAACACACTCCCTGTGTGACCACAGGAACAGTCCCCAGAAAGTGAACAGTTGAAGAAACATGCCCTGTTGAGATACTTGCATGCACAGAGCTCCACTGGTTTCGTACTAAGTCCCTGTCCAAAGGTGTTTAAGCCAAAGGCTGAGGGAGCTGGGTCTCTTTAGTCTGGAGGAGACTGAGGGGTGACCTCATCAAGTGTTTACAAATATGTTAAGGGTGAGTGTCAGGAAGATGGAGTTAAGCTTTTTCAGTGATGACCAGTGATAGGACAAGGAGTAATGGATGCACACTGGAGCATAGGAGTTTCCATGTGGATATCAGAAAAAAATAACTTATTTACTGTGAGAGTGACAGAGCCCTGGGACAGGCTGCCCAGAGAGGCTGTGGAGTCTCCTTCACTGGAGACATTCAAACCCACCTGGACACGTTCCTGTGTGATGTGCTCTGGGTGACCCTGCTCTGGCAGGGAGGTTGAACTGGATGGTCTTCAGAAGTCCTTCCAACCCCTAGGATTCTGTGATTCTGTGGTTTTTCACCTTTCTCTGTCTAATGGAAAATAGTGCTATGCACATCCAGTAGATTATTTAAACAACATCAAGTTATGTGATTGCATAATTCTTTGCAGGCTCAGGATGACTCCAGAAGGTTGGAGACCATATGCACATAAAGTGGCTACTACCACGATCAGCTATGATGGTATATAAAATATCTTAACTCTGTAAAGCAGCAGAACAATTATGAATATCAACATTCATCTTTTATGCAATTTATTCTGAATTACAGAGAGAAAACAAGATTTTAAGGTCGTGCTGTGCTTTGCTTAAAAATCTACTGACACAGATAACCCATTACTTCCTGCAATGCTTCACTGGATGTTATGTTTCTGTGTTCAACAGCTCTCCAGAACCAACAAGTGTAAATGTCAATGACTCCTAAATTTTATTGACAACATCTCAAAACTAAAATGATTTCGAAAAATTGTCTGCGGGCAGAATTTGTGTGATTGTGTTCTTACAAACAGGGGTCTCTACAGCCTCAGAGGCTGGTCTGTATGGATTTTGCTACAGCATCAGAGATACCATGTGCCTTTGCTGATTCAATGAGAAATTTCTCCCATTATATGCAGGATTTATCAACGTTTTTATTTTTTCATGATATGTCATTTAAGTTCCCCACCTAAGGGGATCTATTCAAAATAATATAAAATACATAAAATAAAGGCTATGTATGAGTTGAAAGACAGTTGTTGGTTTTATTCATGCAGCCTTAGTAGGCTTTTATCCAACCATTTTATATGGCAAATTATTTCCTATTCTTTAACACAAAGAGAATATGGAGCAGGCTCAGACAGTAACAGATGTGCTTACATGACCACACTGAGACCAGTCTATAAACACAGCTACATCATCACCATCCTTTAAAGTCAGCTTGTATAACTTTTCACAAAATTTAGTTTGTTCTTCATCCTGTCCACCACACCTCATATGCTGAGTACAAGGTTCTATGCAAAATAGCTATTTAGTTTCTACCACCTGTTTTCTATCACCTGTTGCTAAAAGCAATTATCTGAACACATAAAGGAATACTACAATACATAAAGCAATTAGTGTATAATAATTTAAGTTAAAGGAAAACAACTTTTCCAGTGCAATGGGGAGCAGAGTTGCATATGTATGACTAATTAATTGTCTTACTCCATCTTCTGAGTGCTTAATTACCACTGAAAGCCTTAATGTTCCCTTACGTGAGGATCTCTTAAGTGTTTTGGCATGTTTTTTGTTTTAATGAAAGTAAAAAGAAAACCCTACATCATGAGTCCTTTGGCCTTCTGGCTGGTAGATGACCAGACTGTTTTGAGAGGCTGGAAGCATATGCTGTGATTCCACCTCTGGATCAAAGAACAACATGATGGTTTGTAAGGGACCTGAAAGATCATCTAGTTCCAACTACCTGCCGTTGGCAGGGGCACCTCCCACTAGACCAGGTTTCTCAAAGCTCCACCCAACCTGGCCTTGAATGGTTCCAGGGAGGGGACATCCACAGCTTCCCCGGGCAACCTGTTCCAGTGTCTCACCACCCTCACAGAAAAGAATTTATTCCTAATGTCTACCCTAAATCTCTCCTCCTCCAGTTTTAATCTATTACTCCTTGTCCTCTCACTACAAGCCCTTGTAAGAACTCCCTCCCCAGCTTTCCTGTAGGCCACTTCAGGTACTGGAAGGCTGCCCTGAGGTCTCCCCAGGACCTTCTCTTCTCCAGGCTAAACAATCCCAGCCTGTCTTCAGAGGAGAGGGGATATCTGCCTTGAAGGCACTGTACATCCACCTGCCCACACACAGAATCAAGACTCTTCCCCAAAGTATTTGATCTACTACCTAGACACAGATCTACCATAACATACCCAGACACATGCACACACATCCTGCCTGTGTACCAGCACCTGAGAAGTGCTGGCAGTAGGTGGCTACCACTGGAGCAATACATGAGTATCAGGCCAGGAAGCAGTATGAATTGTTCCAGCAGTGGCAGCCCCATTCCTGGTTGCCAGCTTTTCTGGGAGACTCATAGCTCTTCTTTCACCACATGACAGCCCATCAAAAGATGAGGAGGAACCATAAAGTCCTTGGAAAAGAAAACAACCACAAGCAGGAGACTACTCTCAAAGCAACACTTCTGACCCACCCTTTGATGCCAACAGCCTTCTAGGAAAGAGAGCACCTGATCACAGGCCGGAGAAATCACCACCCAGTGGCTGACTGCCTTAATTTACAAAGCCCAGGATGTTTGTCATGATGCTCTAAACAAACAGGAACAAGGTTCTGTCTTTGGGACTCTGTAGTATTATACCAAAAGGTGCAGATAGGCAGTAATAATCAGTCTTATAACCAGGGAAGGATACACATTGCCAGAATTAAAAACCAAAACCAAAACCAACCAGTAACAGAATAATATGAATAAATATAGGATCAGGAGCATCTTGTTTATGAATTGGCTGGACTTGTACTTAGATAGAGGGCATCCTATAAATTGCACAATGTTTCTTCACTCTTTAGTTACCAACTCACTTGTGCTAATTTTTTTTAAATTAGATTTTTGTTTACAAATTATTGTTTTATTAGTATCCAAGCAACTGCAATTAATGTTTTGTCATAGCCAAGTAAAATTAATTTATGCTTAACTTTTTCCTAATGAAATTCTGCAGTTCCTTTTACTTGTTACAGAATTCATCACGTCTTTTACATTCTTTGGCAATTAACTACTTGTTTGCAGTATCCCTTCACCAGTAAATAAAGGTCTGATTGAAATTACTATCTTTGCATTGCTTATTACATGGGTAGGCTGTGGAAGCATGAGAGAGAAGACTGCATGTGACCAAGTTATTTAGGCAAAATGCAGTCTATAGGCACAAAATGACATTTTGGTACTTTCTGTTCCAAAAGAAAAAGATGGGGTTTTACAGAAGCTTTCATATTTCTTTTTTAAAATATTTATCAATAGTAACTTATCAGCATAGAAAATTTTTCCTCAGTATCAAAAGGAAAATTCTGTTCTATGAAAACAGGACAAATACTAAGAGGGATTATGTTTTAGCTTTGTTTTTTTAAGACTTGCCAGTTAACTCATTTTGATTAATGCATTTTTAAGTGTCACATAATCTTGTCAATATTACGTGCTAATGTTGTCAAAATGTTAGCTGAAGACAGCCAGTCCCTACAGCCATGTCACATCCTTTTCATTTGTCTGCAACAGGTGTAACAGCTTAACTCT